TGAAATTACAAACATTTTGTAAGTACTTGCACAACTTTGTATATTATGTTATACGAAAACCAGTTTTTTTCTGTATGTGTTGAAGATACTAATACATAACTTTTACCAGATTTGTTACTTCTTCAAATCAAAAATTTAGTTGTTTACTTGATTTGTTTATAATAATAATAATGTGACTTCAGAAAATACTGAACATCAGCAATGATAAAACCAGCATAAAAAATCATACCTATTTAGCAAACACCAACCTTCTATTCATTACATAGTTGCAGTTAAACATTTGGATTATATAAGTGTTCTATTATCTTTAATCATAATGTTTCTATTTCAAACCTGTTCCAGAACTCAGAAAACACTATCTTTGGTTATTTAAAAGAAAATAACATTAAAAATGAGATTTGATAAGCTGATAAAAATACGTTTTCTGAAGTTAACTTGAGATCATCACATACAAATTATTTTACTGCACATAGCTTGAGTAATGATCAAAAATAATAAAGACTGAAAAAAATCAGGATATTTCCTCACTCAGTATCATCTTCAAAGCAATTTTTCATTATTTACCCACATTTATGGTTTTTCATGCCCCCCAATTCACAACTGTCAGAAATAACTTTTCTTGGGAAAAGCTTACAATAATAATGAATTACCACACATTTATTGGTCAGGATATTTGCTGGATCTTCTGTTATAACAGCAGTGTTCAGTAAGTTATGCTACTTAAATAAGAAAGCCCAATTGTACATTAATGAAAGTTTAGTAAATGATAGAAGTTCTGTCCAATTATCATAACATTATTATGTGAACCACTAAACAAATATACAGGCAAATCTAATATTTATTTACATACAGGAAGTTTGTCATGTTACAATGACAAATCACAACATTTTATGGCTATCACAACATTACTTTACACTCAAACAACATATTCTGGCTATCACAACATTACTTTACACTCAAACAACATATTCTGGCTACCACAACATTACTTTACACTCAAACAACATATTCTGGCTATCACAACATTACTTTACACTCAAACAACATATTCTGGCTACCACAACATGACTTTACACTCAAACAACATATTCTGGCTACCACAACATGACTTTACACTCAAACAACATATTCTGGCTACCACAACATGACTTTATACTCACGTACATTGTATCAACATGTTTTGTCATAATGAGACTTTATACTCACGTACATTGTATCAACATTTTTCCTGGCTACCACAATATGCCTTTATACTCATATACATTGAACCAACATGCTTTGTCACTACCACAACATCACTTAATGCTCATGTACATTGTATCAACATTTCATTTTTAGCTTACTTACTGATTAAGTGTACTTGATCGTGATTGAAGCATCATACCTGTTATAATAATAATCTTCCTTACTGTAAAAGCTGTACTTTGTAACAAAATTTGATCAAAACGTTTTGTCACTACCACAACATACATTGTATCAACATCTTTCCTGGCTACTACATGACTATACTCATACTTTTATGGGTTGTATCAACATTGTGTGGCTACCACATGACATTACACTCACACACACTGTATCAATTTTTTACTGACATATCATTATGTTATCTCACAACATTATACTGATATCACATATCATGTTCAAGATAGCACAACATGCACACTCACAAACACACATTGTATCCAGGTATTCTCTGGCTAGCACATCAATTAATGCTTAAATATCATGTTCATTAGAAGCCACAACACGAGATATTTGACTTTATGATAATCACAAAATTAATTTACAGTAACATATCACGTGTACTGACCATCACAAAAAATTACAATGTTGTATCATTATACTTTCTGTCCATCTCAACACCATTGTTGACAATGACATAATAACAGGCAATCTCAAAGTTACTATACAGTCACCTAACAACATAAAAGAAAAGAAACAGTAAAAAGCTATAGGTGACACAAAATGGTTTTCCACTACAACTAATACAATTGTTGTGTGTTTCATCAAGTTATGTTTAATTATTAAAGTTGGAGTTTTTTTCACTGATTTCTATAAACAAAAACAGTACATATATAAATTGAAGAATTAGCTACAACTCAAGAGTGGTGTCACTGAAACATGAAATTTAAAATAAAAAAATAGCACATCTATAAATTCAATAATTAGAAATATATGTTAATGATTTGTGCACTTCTTATCAAACTAAATGTATAAACAAGTACCAATTGTTATTAAGTGTTGCAGTTGAAAGATGATACTCTCAAAATTACACTCAATCGTTAGGGTATTAATTTTGACCTCTATTTTTACAAAAACTTAAACTTTATAGTAATCACATAACACTAAGTCTTTTCTGTTTAATATATGTACTATTTAATGTTAATATTTCTGGCATTGATATATCAACAAAAACTTAAATCATTTTTAATTTTGTGATAATAAAAAAGAATAACTAATGACATAATATAAATTTCATTATATCACAAAACTAAAGTTCCTGATTTTTAAAGGAATATTTTATTTATTTTCACTAAAATAAACGAAAATGTAACTGTTACATTGAGTGGTTGCATTTATACAATGTTTCAGCTTTGGAAATTCATTAAAATATTGTTGAACATACATTATACACATATACAAGTTTCCTTTCCTGTTTAACTGACAGTCAACCACCTTGGAAATTCAAGTAAATAATGTGAGCATGTGTTAAACAAGTTTTTGTTATTCTTCAGAGGTCATAACATACACCGGAGAATAGTGTATAATTTATAATAAACAGGACTACTTACCAAAAAAAATCTTGTTATTCCCAATGTTTTACTGTATCAGCCTTATTAAGTGATAATTATGTTATACCAATATATTCTAAAACTGGTCATTTATCATTTTTACAAAGTCTAAGTTTGTTTACAAAATCAGCTGCCTCATGACTAAACCACTATTTGCACAAACACGTTGAATCATCTTTTTAGGCATTTAGGACATGTGCTTAAAGGTAAATGTTTGGTTAATGTTACTTACAGTATGTTACTGTTTTAAAAGTTGCAGTTATAACAATTCTTACACTTTTTCTTTTTTATAATTTTGAGCTAGATTACATACAGCCTTTGTGTTAGAGTGAAATGAGGTTAACATAAGAATGCATTAACCAGATATCATATCTCAACTGGATGATTAATAGTGTCCCTTTACAAAAAACACACACACAAACTGATGGGGAGAAACACATGTGGCTAGTATTACATATATACAGTCAGAGTTTACACTTAATTATAAAAAAGCTGACACTAACTTGGAACCTGAAGACTGGCCACAAAATTTGCTTCTTAACTTTCACACATTGTCTGCTAATTGTCAATCTTGAGATGATTTTTTCAGGGAAAAACACCTGAGACCAAAATGTTGGCACATTTCTTGCACCTGTGAAAATAATCAATTTTGTATTAATACTTTCAAGTTACAGTAATTACAGCAGTAGATACAGAGGTCTATTCTAGACTAATACCAAAACAGGTAGTTCCATGTTTGAATCTTTGTTAGAAAGTGAAGTTTAGCCTTTAGTACAAATTTACAGTTTGATTTGTGTAGGATAGTTTAAATTGGCCTCAGTTTAGCAATCAGCAGACTTTCTCTTATCCCTAATTGCAATACTTCCTCAGCTCTACTTCACAGACTAGCCTCATCATTAAAAACCTTAATTACATACATAGAAAAAAATACTCTGCAACAGTTGAAGAAACCCACAATCTATTCTGTGTAAGTTATTTTATATAAATGTTTAACCACTTAATGGTAGAACCAACAAGCTCCTTAGCACAGTCAGGACTTTACACAAAACAAATGCCCTTTTCAGTGAAATTTTATTCTTTAAACTACACAAATTCTAAGGGTTGACTTGAAATGCATGTTAATTTAATTTGAGGATATGCTCTATTCAAAATTTCATGTAATTTTTCTTTACATATCAGGAGTGTTGACTTGCATACTATAATATTAACATTAGAGATCTTTTTGGTATATCAAAATTTGGCATAGTAGAAGTGGTAATTTGTTTTTATGTAATTTTTGTATTCATTAAGATAATATTTTATCCTACCAATATAATTATGAAAAACATTATTTCATTTACAATCTTAAAAGTCAGATAGACAAGAATTTTTACAAGCTTTTATTTAAAGAATATAATAGGAACAAAACTATTAAAATACCCATAAAAACATTAGAATGTTGGCTTATGTTGCAAACTCACACCAAAGTCATCATAACTTCTATAAACTAGACTACCCAAAAAAGCCAATTTTCAATCACTTCATGTTCTACAAGAAAACCTGATATGATGTTGAAAGTTGAGATATTGAAAAAAAAAGAAAGTCCCACTTCTTACTAGATTTATAAATGGTAAAAGTGTCATGTTCATTAAATCTTCAGTATAACAGTTTGATTTAAGTTTGACATTTATTCAGCCATTCTGTTCATCACATAAAAAAATATTAGCACCAGCATTAGTCTAGGACTCATACTAGCTATCTGATTATATACATGATGTCAAATAAATATGTAGGTTCAAGAAGTCTTGATACAAGATGATAAAAACTGTATAACTCAAGCACTTTCAAAAGGTAGATCTTTATTCTTCAGGGGCAAACTGGGAATGGTGGTGTAATCAAAAGAGTTATATATCAAGGGAGTTGAACGATGTCATTAAGGTCATCCAGTTTTCCATGAAATGTTTAGTATATTTTCCATGTACTGTTGTAAGTGTCTCATTTCCGGTACAATGTAGCTTGTGATGAGAGCATTATGTAAAAAGGTGTAAGGAATATTTTGCTTTATAATTGGCTAAATATAACTTTACTTAAGTGTTTAAGTAAAATAAAGTTGACATCTAGAGACTGATTGAAAAAGAGATGTTACACTAATCAATTTATACAAACAGGTATGGAAAATTATCTTCAATAAATAGTAACTTTTAGGAAAGTTAGGGTTCACACTACATGCAAGAAATAAACAAAGAATGAAAATTGTTTTCTGAGAGAGATAAAACCAATGCTCAGAGATCACTGATTCCTGGATCTAGATTAATTTCAAAAGGTTGAAGAGTATTTAGATTAGCAATCCAATAAGCTTCTTATTTTTCTGCATCAGCTTTATTTTTGAATCCTGTTTCAATACCAACGAGAGTAACATCGTTAATGGAATGACCAGGTTGGTTAAAGTGTTGAGCAACAGGTAGATCTTTTCAGTGTTAATAGAAGATTTATGGTTGTTGAAACATTTTCTACGATTTGTTTGTGTATGTCATACATATTGGTGATTGCATTTTTTATACTGTATACGGTAAATGGTGTTTAGTTTTCCACAAATGACTTCTTATTAATATTTTAAAGTTTCTTAGGTTGTGCTTGTCAGAAAATGAGTCAGTAGTTTTTATGAACTTGCAGGTTTGACAACAAGTTTTACTGCATGGATGACAACCATTTTTGGTGGGATGTAATTCACTTCTGTGTGAAAAAATATATCTTTTAGAGTTCTACTTTTTTGTAAGGAGACAATGGGAACTTCAGGATATATCTGTTTAAGGCGATGGTTCAGTTGTAGGAGATGAAAATGTTTTTTTCAAAATTCTAGAAACGTTTCTGAGTTTAAAGTGATAGGTAATAATAAGAGGAATTCTATTACTAACTTTAGTATTGTCCTGTTTTAGGATATTTTTCTGCTGAGTGTTGTTAGCTTTTCTGATCTGTCTGTTGATTTTGGTATCTTTATGTCCTCTTGCAACATGGTTTGTTTTAGATTTTTGGTGTGTTTTCTGTAGTCTCTTTTATCTGAACATATTTTCTTTATTCTAAGAGCTTGACTGTAGGTAATGTTCCGTTTAGTGTGAGCAGAGTGACAGCTTTTATAATGAAGGTATTGTGGTCTGTCTGTAGGTCTTTTGTACAAGTCAGTGTGTAAAATTCCATCCTTTAAAAAGACAATGATGTCAAGAAAGTTAATTTGGGTAGGCGAGTAATCAAAGGAGTTTGCATATGAGATAAATTCTTTAAATGATTCAAGACTGGCTGTCCAAATGAAAAATATGTCATCTACATAACGTTTCCATGTATGAGGTTTTACAGGACATAGTTGTAAAAGCTGGCTTTCAATATGACCCATAAAAATGTTGGCATAACTGGGAGCCATTTTGGTACCCATTGCAGTACCATTAACCTTAAAGTAATGTTTGTTATTGAATTCAAATTTGTTCAGAGTTAAAACCAGGCTGGTATGATGTTACTGTTTGAGATTCTGAAGGGTTAGAAAGGTTTAATGTGGACTTCAGAGTTTCTAGTTCTTCATAATTCTAAAGTCTGCATTAAGCCTTTCATTAGTACATGGAAAAATATACTAAACATTTCCTGTAAAACTGGATGACCTTCATGACATCACTCAACTTCCTTTATATATAACCAATTTGATTACAGTACCATTCCCAGTTTGCCCCTGAAAAAGAAAGGTCCACCTTTTGACAGCACTCAGGTTATAGGGTTTTTATCATTTTCTATCTGCTTATAAAAATTAGCAGAGATTCTTTTACAGCAAATGACATTAATCTTGAAATGCATTTAGGTACTCCATTTACAGTGTTCTCTTCTAAATAAACTGTATTATAATAAAAATCTAATTTACTAATTTTCATGTCTATGCAAATAAAAAAAACAACCTGAACAATAAGCTTAATGGGTGTGACATGAAAAGGTTATAATCATGAATTTTAATGTTAGGGGGTAAGTAAACCTGCATACAAGCTTCAACAAAGTTTCTTTAATATTATATTAGAGTTCTAAAATTATGGAATGGTTTACCTATTGGGATGATATGTACTGTTTGTTTTAAAATTTTTTAAACTTTGTAGGATTAAGCATATTGACGTGAAGTAATACATACAATGAACTTGGATTTGGTTGTTTGTTTTTGTGGGTGATGGGTAGCTTCAATAGACCAACTGCCTTCCATTATCTTACTTTTTCTTATATTCTTAATAGTAAGTTTATGTTTTCCAGTGTCTTGATATCAATAATGCAGATCATTTATACAATTTATGAGTTTTTTAATGCTTATTTCAAACATAAAACTACAGGTTTAAAAATTACAAATATCTTTTTTTTTTTTAGTTACTGTCAAATTAAGTCAGGGTTTATCTTATGTTGGTTTTCATGAGAAATATTCATAAAATAACAAAATGTATGATTTAATCTACAGCAACCAATAATTATTTTCTTGACATACTTCTCAATTTATAAGATTATTTTAAAATTGGATTGGTCACATTATAGTATTTACTATACCTATATTTTTATTTTCTTAGTTGCACGCAATGAATATGGTTGAATCAATTGTCAAGAGCATAATATAAAATTTAAATGAACATGCAAAAAAAACACAACTACAACTAGAATTGACTAAACACAAACCTACCAACTACAGTGTCACAAAAGTAAGATTGAAATCTTACATTAATTACTTTTAGGTTTAAGCCTTTTGGAGTGAATCTCTGTTTAGAAATAGTTATAAGATTTACACATCAGATCTTACTTGGATTAGTATCTTCAAACAGTTATTACATTAACAAGTATATAAAAGGCAATCTCAATATATGTTTTATTACTAGTAGTAAAAACAGAAAATCAAAACAGCACACTTACAACACAAACAGCATAGTATATATGGGCCAGGATACAGAAGATAGTTAGAATCCACACCATAAGATTTTCTCTCTGGGTAAACAATGGAACACCAAACACCAATCCCATTGTTAGTCCTACAGGGTACAACATCCAGTTAAATGCTTCACACTGAGTCATAGACATCTGGCTGATGATGAGACGGCACTGTAAGATTATTAAACTCTGAACAAAATGATGGTAGGATGCAAAAACACATATCTACTGTAATTCTGAAATAGTTATTTAGATGGTATGTAATTAGAAACTTTTTATAATTAAAATTTAAGAGACAAAAATGTGTTTAATGCCCAACATATTCCAAAATATTCAAGCTGTTGTAAGTATGTGACTCATGAAAATTAACATTTTTATTACCTGGAAATGTATTCAACCTATTGTCTTGTACACACTGCCATGTAATTTCCAGAGTATGCCATATGCTTTAAAAAAACTCCCACTCCTACATACATCAATGTGTATTGCACAAGCCTATGATGTAATCATCATTACACCAGTGCAGTAATCCCTGTAAGCATTATCACAGGTTCATCCTTGACAAGGCAAACTAAATGTACTGAAATTTGAAAGGAAGGGTGGTAGGTGGTGATTAGGGGTGAGTGTCTATCTGAAATACATTTTCAGGTAGGGAAAACATTAACTTTGGAAATGCTACTCACTCTCTGCTCCACCAAGAGCTAGAATCATACAATGAATACAGTGAAGGGGTTGATGCAGAGAAATTACAAAGATGAGCTCTTTTCAGAAAAGAACATCAAAAAGAGAAAGGCCATGGTGTGTGACATCCATGAGGTAGAGAGTAGCCTACTCAGACAGGGAATACTTTTTGCCCAACAGAGGTTATAGAGTTAAAGATATTGTCAGAATAATCTGTACTGGGTGCTAACATATCACCAAGGTTGGTGGAATGACAGACTGCTCAAGTGCTCATTATTTCACAGACAGACAGATGAGCATGAGTGTGTAGTGTGGCTAGGGCTATATGTCAGGTCAGGTCATTCCATATGGAAAAAACACTTATGTTAGATACAAGAAAATCAGGTGTAGAGAGTAGCATTTCCAAATTATGTTCCAAGCTAACTCCAAGACTCACCTGGCTAGATCTAACAAGAGAGAATGGTTTGGTTCATAATGTAGTGAGATGTCCTGTGCTACATTACCAGCTAACACCCCAGCTGTACTTCCAAAATAAAGGGTGCATCCACTCAATCTTATATCAATGGGATTGCAACACCTGATGAGAAACTCTCTATGTCAACTTCCCCAGCAGCTTGGGACTGGGGAAGCAAGGATTGTCCTGTATCTAGTAGAAGAAATGGGGGCGGGGATAAAACTCCGGAGAGGCGTGTGAACCATTGTCACCAGGCACAATCATCTGGAATTAGATCTTACACTAAGAAACATTGCAATGGGTTATCACAACTATAGCAGACATGATCCAGGTGTGAGAACAGGCATACACCTGGTGCTTTTTATTTTGTCAGGTGTAGAACTGGAAGAAATAATACACATAGACACCACCAAAGCAGTCTTGCATAAAACTTCATCTCAACAGCTGGCATAGATTTAACGTTTTCCATACTCCCCTGCTAAATGGAAGTTTTGGGTAAGTATTTCCATTGAGGCAACACCATCCATTCAGTGTGTTCCATCATCTCTATAATATATATATATATATATATATATGTATGTTGAATAAGGTGGTTTAGTTATGAGACCTGTAAAAGAAGAGAGAAGAATCAACAACTTACCATTAGAGTCATTTTAAAGAGTGGATAATGGTAACTAGAAGGAGACAAAAGTGAGGGCAGATGAAACCTCCTTGTGCTGTAAGAAATGCGACACTAATGTGTTGGGTTGTCAACATACCCACCTGAAAAACAGCATTCAGGGGAATGTCAATGGCTAGAGGCAAAAGAAGCTGTGAGATAATACTAATAGACAATATAGAACAAAGAGTATAATCTGAGTCAGAATGGCTGTACAGTGAATAAAGGGAAGAAAGGATGAATGGAGAAAACATCAAATCACCCTCCCAAGCAACCTCTGTTTTGGGGTATTCCAAGAAGAAAATGAATCTGTCCCCACAGTACATAGTGCAGGAGGAGGCCAAAGCAAAAGAGAGTGCTAGCTTCTGTAAGATAAACATGGAAGAAATATGTCTAAAGCATATGAAAGGAGGTTGAACCACACCAGACACACAGTATCTTCAGCCATTACTGTAGAGTCTGGGATTAGATACAAAATGAATGGAAATGAGTAGTGAAGTGCAGGTGGAAATATAGTAATAAAAGAATGACCAAAGTGTAGTAAATCCACTTAAAACACTAGAGGATGAAGAAACCACACTGAAGTAGTCTAGGCTTAGGTGAAATAGTGATCTGCCACAAAGGACTGAGCTTTCAAGACATGATAGATTGACAACTGAATATGGTGGTTGTGGTCCAAAAGAGAAAGTAAAGAGCCAATAAAACAGAAGTCCTGGAAGTCAGAGTCTTATTGTTAAGGGAAGGAAGAAAACAATAAAGGTGTTTGAATGGATCATAAAAAAGATCATAAAGATGAGAGAGAAGATGATGGTAAGCCTACAAGTAGCCCTCAGCTCGAGAATGTAGAGAAAGAGAAACTCTTAGAAATAAGATGTCAGAAAGAGATCAGGCATCCAGAAGTGCAAGTGGAAAGGTGTGGTGTGGCTGTAAAACTAGTTGGTAACAAGCACAAAGCCAAGACAAAGTGCTACATGTGTGCTACACTCACTATGGGTATGGAAACCCATGTATAAATGGGAAGAGCTCACAAGCTCATTTCTATGTCTTCTAAGCCAAACACATGCAAGTCTGAGTATGGGGGAAGATGAACATCCAGAGTCGTCTGGGATCGAGTGAGCCACAATGATCTCGAGAGGTTGAAAACATGGTGTACCTCCAGATATATTTGCATTGACAGGCCAGAAACCACTGAAGAGAACATGTATGAGTACACTTAAGAGAAGGAGAAATTTCAGAGAAGAAAGAGGCCCCCCAAAAGACTCATGCAAGAAATGAAGGAGACATATCGGCCCTGGTATTCAAAGCAAAATATCACAAAGATGAAGTAAGCCAAGTCTGCACCATATACAAAGTGAGAGAGATCGTTAAGTGAAGGAAATACAGGGTAGGGGTTGAGACTAAAATGGACGGCAGAACCAGCCACCCCAATCAAGATGATTCTTGAAGGAGATGGGAGGTCACAAAAGAAAAAGCCACATTGAAAGGCAAGAAAAGGCCAGATGTCTATAGCAGGCCTCAACAAATATATTCAGATCTAGAAGCCAGCCTGAAAACTTAGAAGGCACGTCCAATATAGAAAAGGTTATGGAATATATTTTGAGTCGGTTGTGTGATTATGATACGAGACATACAGTTTTACACTAAGAAACAAAAGGTTCATTATTAAACTTTATTATATAAAATATGATAAAGTTAAACTTCAATATGTGCAATTCTTAAAATAGTAGACTAAATAACTATAACTTAGGTGAATTCTTGCAATGAATGATAGTAAAATAATCACTGCAATATCAGTAGGCTAAACAGGCTGTTTCAGAATAGGCCTAATCTACTCATCACTACAACACTGTACAATGATAACTAAAGGCCTTTTGGTGTGCCTAACCTAACTTCCCTACTGTTTGTACTGGGTAATGGAAGCTTTATTTATTTACTTTCTCAGCAACGATTGATATCACTTGATATCAATAATCACTTGATAGCATTGCCTGAACTAATTGCCTTTGGTCCTGTCCGAGTCTAAAAATGTGCACCAATGGGTTGAATTGAGAGAAAAAAGAAAATGGCATGATAATAGTAATGTGTTGTGCAACTACAGCACTTCATACCTGAAAAAATATGAAGAAGTGCTGAATCTGCCATTAAAATCCTAGAAACAAAGTTTGATTTTGGACTCAAAGAATGCGAAGATAGTTCCGGACTTCCAAGATCCAGAACTATTCTAGATTCGAGTTCTATCTAACACATTCATAATCACAAATAAAATGGGAGAAAATACTAGATACCATGATGACATTTTTAACCCCCATGGTGACCTGGTGCCCAGGATTTGTCGAGGCCTGGTCTATAAGAGTAGTGGAATAATAGGCCTCGAGAACGTAACCTCTGAGGAAATATCCACTGACCCCAATGAAAAAGGATGGGGCCATAGCCAACTCAAAGGGAAGGACTGAGAACCAAATCTTTGCCCAATGTGGATGAAGCAATGAAAACAAAAGGCAAGCAAATTAGGATGTTAAGAGAATGTTGAGACCCAGAATCGGTCATCCACCACTGGAGAGTGAGAAACTGCCCACTGGGAACTGAGGAAAGACCAATGTTTGGTCAAATAGGACAAATTGGTATTTGGCCATCAACATCCCATCTTCATAGGAAAGATAAAAATATGGGAGTAGAAGCCCAGAGTGAGATTGAGGAATTGTTCTATGACATGTGAAACAGATGAAGTGAAGAGTTGATATATGGAAAAGCAGCTGAGGAACTCAACATATTGTAGCAAAGAGAGTCCACCAGCAGACAAAGTGGGAAAGCTGAGCTCCCACAGGACTGTAACCTAGGGATGACTCCAGAAACAAATCGTCTCTAAGACATGTGATGGCCAGCCCACAAAGAGGGAAAAACTGTAGACAGTAACAAGAGGACAAAGAACAGAAGAAGGGGTGACACCATCAGACCATATACAATGAAAAAAACAAAAAAACCTGAAAACCAGCCATGAAGAATATGTCATTTCCTATTGGTGGAGAGTTAGTCTAATGATGATTACATCATAGGCCAGCACAACACTCCCTGACATTAAAAGGTGAAAGGTTTGTTCAATGCATGTGGCATGCACAGGAAGTTACATGGCAACGTGCTCGATGTAATAACTCTTGGTGGTGCAGAGAGGTGATTAGTGTTTCTAAAGCAGAATCATATTACTTATCCACAGAAGAGTGGAAAAATATTATATATGCACCAAACAGAACCTGACACAAGCAACCAGCAGCTTAAAGTTACTAAAAATATTACCAAAGCTAATTTGACATAAGCATACACCTAAAAAAAATGACCTAGTTAAAAAATGACACAAAAAATCACCTAATTCATCTGATACAACCATCCAGCTAGTTAAAGTAACTATGTAAAAACAACACAGTTTGTATAAACCACTGTCAAGGAGGTAAAGAAATATAAAAACTGTGCCAGTGTACATTCTCTCCTACATAGATATCTAAGATACCATAAAATAATATAATTGAGTAAATGATAAAGCATCACTTTAACATTGCTGTGTTAATAAAAGCTTACAAACTATTCAAATGTGGAAAATTCAAGAAATGTACATCATCTTAAACTAAAACTGAGGAAATAAAAGCTGCTTAAACAGTACTTACACAAATGTTGGAAAATACTGTCCCAACCATCCAGTAAAAGATTCGGGGATCTTTGTTAATGATGTCACTTGGAGAGAAAACTGCCCACAGAGTTGTCATAATTAAGAAAGTGGTAACAGGAAAGAGGGGACGCATACCTTCATATAATGTTTTCTGTTTAAGTGTGTTAGTTTTATAGCCTCTGAGAAAAAACAGAAACTTGGTATAAATATGAAACTGAAGTATATTTCATTGCCACAAGCCCAATTATAAGATTTAAAAGGAAATACTAAAAATTGCAATATTTTAATTACTATTATCAAACAGTAAGACAAAGATTTTTTACTCCCTCTTCAAATAACTGAACACCTGTTCTGTTCGTTTTCTTTTATAAGTTTTTATTAAAAAACTATTAGGTTACTAAAACAAGAAATGTTCAACAAAGTTGTATGCTGTTTAGTAAAGGTGTTAGGATAATCTAACACTAAAACATTGGTTAGAACAATTTTAAGTACAATTTACATTCTGTAAGCATTCTTACTTGAAAAATTGAGCTCTTCAAAACATGGTAGTTATTTGTTAAATATGATATTACTAGTAAATATGGTGATTTAACTGTCAAATATTCTATGATCTTTTAAAGATGGAAAGTTATTAAATATATTAATTGTAAAAATTATTCTAATAAATAAGGCTCTGAAAAGTCATACTCTGTTTGTAAATATGATACTTACGTGTAAATATTGTATAAACTCACTGGAAAAGACATTCCAAAGCTTCCAACTAGAAATTAAAAAAATCTAAGTTCAGATAAAACCATAAATTTCTTTCTACTGACAAGCAACTTCACATTTTGTCTACTCTTTCAGACTTTTACAGTGTTACTATAACAGTTTAAATTGACTCTCATAACTGCTTAGATGAAGAAACTTTTAATTAATCTTTAAAGTCAAAAAACAAATACTAGCTCATGAATAGTATACAACAAATATATAACTTAAACTTCCAAGGAAATACCAAATACATGACTGTGTTCGTACCTACCATACAAATATTCACACTTAACATACATTACCATTAACTCTACACTGTGTTTATACTTAGCATACAGATATCTACATCACCTTTATGCTATCTACACAATATACTGCCACTAACTCTACACTGTGTTTATACTTAGCATACAGATATCTACATCACCTTTAAGCTATCTACACAATATACTGCCACTAACTCTACAATTACCATACAATATATCAATACTAACCTTACACTATGTCTATATTGTCATACAGATATAATTAGTTATATGTGTCTAACTTAGCATACAAGTATCACCACCAACTCTATACAATACCTACACTTACAATACAGTTATACATATATAAATAGCTTTAATGCTATCAGATATATTAGTTATCAATATGCAACCGAGTCATCACTAATATAAAACAAAAATGAGCTCAATACATATCAAACACTACAATGAAACTACAAATTCAACAATTGTCTTTCCATTACCAGTTCTTGTTGTTATCATTAAGTCAAAACGGATAATGTCTGTGGCCACAGCACCCAAACATATTAGGAATATTCCATCTATCAGGCAAGATCCAGACACCAATATCAAACTATCCAGCAACTATGGAGAATCAGTTAAGGGTTAGGAGTTGAGTGCATAAACCCACAACATCTAAACTCTCATTGCCTTTTGCTGTCTACAGCCAGTTGTGGGAAGGCAATTACCTTTAATATTTAAATATAATCTTAACGTAGAAATAAAGCTACCCTAAAAATTCTACAATGTAAAATTCCAACTTCACCTTTATATTTTTATGTTATGAGATGTACAAGTAATTTCATATGTATTATAAAACAGGTATAACATTTTTATTATATGCCAGTCCTTATACCGTTATTTTTCAACATATTTTTGAATAATTGAATATTATCCATAAAAGAATTACTATTGTTAAAAATCTTTTTAACTGAGAGATAATAATTCCTTTTAGCAGTATAAATAGAACACAATTAGGGGTGGGTAGATCAAGGACAGGAAAATCAAATTTCCTTCTTTTATTAAAAAGAGTCAACTATACTCTGTCTTTGTCTTCACAAAATTAATATCTAAGTAATGTGCATGAATGTCACTACTATTGTTTCTTTCTGTTATAAGTTCCTTTTTATATATTACATTTGGAATAAAATTCAAGTTATTGATGAAGATTATTTCTATTTTAAAGTTGTATCTAAATATTAAGAGTAACTGTTTTCCCATAACTAGCTACAAATAGCAAAAAGCAGTAGGAATTGAGACGTTGTGGGTTTAAGCACTCAAATCCTAACCCTTAACTGATTCTCCATAGTTGTTGGCTAGTGTGACATCAGCATATGGATCTTGTCTGATAACTGGAACATCCCCTATGCATTTGAGCACTATGGCCACAGACATTATCCATTATGACTTAATGATGACAAAATGATATATATATATATATCACTTAAAGATTTTAATTTCCCAGATAACTTTTTGTAACTTATTTTCTAAAATGTGGATTTCATATTGGTTTTCTAACAACTTAATATCCAAAAGAAATGTAAGAAATAAATAATGCAAGTGTTAGAAACTTATTTAATAGTAGTATCTTATTTATTGAGGACTTTGTACCTAAAACTACAATACATAGGCATAAGTATAATAATATGGCACATTCTGTTTTTTGCTAGGATGGTCTTTGTTTTTTTTAATTGCATATTTTGGCAATTGTAATATTAAAAAAAAGTTTCATTAGCAGTCATTATAAGTAGGCTGCTAATTAGACAGGATCAAACAAAAGTCTGGGTGGCTAGATACTGTCATCATGAAGCACTATTCTTGAGCTTAGCAAAGATAATTACATAACGTGTTCTCATAGTGCTGCCTCATCTTCTTCTAAATAGGCATCACCTCAACACTTTGCTCACTTGTACCAACAAAATTCATCATCATGTTTTTGAAGATGTGGACAGAAATGAGGAGTTGACCCATGAGCCTACTATGGATGCTTGCAAATAATACCCCTTGGTTTTAACTGCATTTTCAAGGCACTTGGGAACTTATCCCCAATGAATGTCCATGGGATATAAAAAAAAAAGCAATCCTGAATATGTGTAAGTTCTTGTTTTTTTCTGGTAAAATAGTAAAATCTGCTTGATTGTCTCTATGACTTTATAAACGTCCTTAGTAAGTTGGCACAAGCTAGATAACAAAGTGAAGATATTTCTCTTTAAATAGTGCCTATGGAGTACTCATATTATTTGCATGATCTATGATAAAAGCATTGACCTTCTCTTGTCCCATGGTGTCTATAAAATCACTGAAGATTTAAGTCACTTACTCACCAGTGCAATATTTAGTTTTTGACTCAGTAATGTTTCAAAGATTGTAAACATCAAGTTAATTAAAGAATTTTTCATCACTACCCAGTCAACACCAGTGTCAATGAATCTCCTTTAGCTGTCTTTTCCTTGACAAGACTTTGCACACATTTTTTTACTCCTAATACAACAGGGAATTTCAGAGGCAGAACTTTGAATGAAATACAAAAATATATCTTAGGCGACAAAGATCTTTCTTCCAAAATCTGTTTTCAGTTTAACTAAGTGGTTGCAACTTGAATACACAGCTTTTGTAATGTGTCTTTGAATTTCCTTCTATCCTTACATTAAGGCAGTTTGCATTAGGTTTGGCAGTAAGGATAATCAGGTGGTTGGTCCACAGTTGTCAGGAGTTGTAAGACAAAAACAGTGTTAAATGATTGTGTAGAAACAATACTTTTCCTCTTCAGTTCCTTCATTTTCTCTTCCTGCAAAAAAAAAAAGAAAAAGAGAAAGAATATAAACTGTGATTCAGCTGTTGACAGTTAATTAACCTAAAGTTTTCAAAAATACAGGTACACGTTACAAAACAATATCATGTTATTATGTTATTTCTATTTACCACATCAATGAGAAAAATCACTTTATACTAATGAAAACAGAATGAGTGTTGAGCAGAATGATCTAAATGTATACTCAAAAACAAATTTATTTTAACCCTTTTCAGACTGGAGGAGTACTACAAATATCTTCTTATTAATTATTATTTAGTACTTTTGTCAATTTGTAAGTTGTAAAATTTCTAAAACTTTTTTGTGAGACTGTTTTGAATAAACATTAAAACTAAGTTGCTTTCTTTAGAATTTCAATTTTCTCATTCTTAATCAGAAAGTATCAATTTATACATTCAGTCAGTTTCAACTTAATTGATATTTAATAATGTATTTTGTTTGAGACTATTTTCTTTATTGCAGCTACAAATCACAAAAAACACTACAGAAACTAACATTATTCATCACCTTTCAAAATGGTGTATTTCCTTTGTTAGGCTAAATATTATTTTTGCTAATAATATTCTTGGTCAAGATCTACTGATATCTAATGAATATAATCTCTTTACAGTAAATAATTAATTATTTTATTAGTCATCTGAGCAATTCTTTCTTTACAAAGACGACTCCCTGAAGGTGTGCAAAATGAAAATTTTAACATTTTTATATTTTTCTTTGCAAATTTCACTAAATAAATATTGCAAAAAGATAAATATTAATTTTCAAAATATTTTTTAATTCAAATTTAATAAATTTCTATTGTTATAATTATTACTCACACTTAAATTTTGTAATTTGATATGCATTTGTTTGCTCAACACCTAAAAAGTGCTTACCAGTCATGAGAAGACTAAAATCTACCCGTTCATTGGTCTCCATTTTGAAAAAGTTAATAACAGACTAACAGAAAGCTAAAGAAGTCATGCTATCCATAAGGAGAATGTATGCATGTAACCTGGCTCAAATTCACTAACAGGATTAGGAGATATAATGTTCAATGGCTGCCATATTAGCAACATTCAAGGTGGAAAAGTTACAAAATATAAACATTTAAGTTTCAGTAAAATGAATTGAATATTTTTTCTATAAATTTGTTATTACACTAATGTGACTTGAAACTTTTCAAAGTATTCAAAGGAGAACATTTAAGGCTCTAAATATCTATGTTAGGTCACGCACACACCAAAACAATGAAATAAACAAACTAGACCTACCTCAATAATTATCGAAGGTCCCTGTTGCAATGAATTGATGCTTTACATGTCCACATACTCCTTGTACATTTTGTTGTGGGTATTTCTTACATTTTCTCATATGCTTTCACATTTGACTGACACTGCTTACATTATTGGCACAAGTTTGGTTACAAAATGCACACTTGTCAATTATTTTGAAATTGACTTATTTCGCTTTGAAATAATGCCAGATCCCATTCAAAATTTATTACATTATTACTTTTGTTTTCAGAATCTTCCATAAAACACATAATAAGAGTCTAGGATTCTAAAAAAGAATTTTAACTGTACAAGTAATTAACAAGTAAGCAATATTCAAACCAACTATAAGTTTTAATGTAAAATGTCTATACTTTTCTATTTAACTCTCAAATGATCATCTTTCTTTCTGGAATATTTTAAACAATTCTTATAACATGAGGGGGATCACCAATTTTCTAGATCTCTCTGACATGTTACTTTCTAGGTAATCAGTCACAATTCACTCTCCTACAATGTTTGAAGCGTCCAAGATATGTGACGAACAATAGGAATAACCTATTTCTAAGAAAACAATTGCCATAGCTTTGCAATGATTTCAGTTACAATGGGGGTATTAAATAAATTCCAAAAGCTTATAGTCTAAGAACAAAAGATTAGATCTATATAAAAAGTTGATCAAAATTAGACTAATATAAGACTTCTCCAAAGTAGAGTGCCTATCACAAAATATTTTTCTAGTAACTTGAATAATTATACAAACATTTCACATTTTCAACCCTGTTGGCTAAGAACAGAACAACAAAAAGAAAACTGTAATAACAAATCAAATGTAGATATCCATTCAGCAACTTTCATCCCACAATAAATTATTTTTAACTGCAGAATTCCAAGAAACTTATTTTGTGTAGTCTGTGGGTTAAATAATTTTGCTTATTTCTTGCACAATAATTAGAAATTCAGACACAGCTGTTTCAAGTAGTGTTAAAACTATTTTTAGCAAAAATTATAGAGAATTTAATATTTTTTCCAAATTCTAGTGGCACTAGTTCTACATTTAAAAAAGCGGGAAATGTACATTGTCTTCATTTAACATACAGTAATATGTGCACTACCCTCTACACTGTCTAAACTTACCTAACAGATATCAGCAATAACTTTAACAGTATTTACACTTACCCTACAGATAAACATAACTCTATACTGTATTTACACTTACCATACACATATCTGCAGGATTTCTATATTCTATATACACTTACCCTACACATATCTGCAGGATTTCTATATTGTATTTACACTTACCCTATACATATCTGCACTATTTCTATGCTGTATTTACACTTACCCTACATGTATCTGCACTGCCTCTATACTGTACTTACATTTATCCTATAGATATGTGCACTGCCTCTATACTGTACTTACACTTATCCTACAGATATGTGCAATATTTCTACTGTATTTACACTTACCATGTGTAAATGTCTGGACTAACTCTACATTCTTTCTAGTTACCTAACAGATCATTAAAAATTCTACAGACTGTCTACCAATGTTGCCTCTAATATATATTTTTTTTTTAGAGGGTGAATATTTTTAGACCATTAACCCTGTTGGAATTAGGCCAGTTAGTTATTTAGGTTTTAAGCCTATCGACTGCCAGGGTCATTAAGGCTGTCAACGTGTTGAGACTCCTCACCATTATTAAGGATGTGTGCAGCTTGAATAATGAAATGCACAGCACTTGATTGGTTATTGTGTGGCCACACAGCTTAGAGAGAACACTGCTGTTTACATTACTTTACAGATATCTGCATTAAATAAACATTGGATCTATACTTACTATACAGAGACATCTCAACAATTTCTCCACTACTGAGATTTATAGCTGGGACTAAAAACTTCCAAAATTTGTATGACTTGAAATAGGTGATAATATAAGCCATCAGCAACACCTGATAAAAAAGTTTATGATTACAATTTATCCAAGAGTGTAATATGTTTTGAAATAGCAAATACTTTGAGAATAAAGTTTGTATACTGCTGGCAAGTTTAAAGGATGTAAAAAAAAATTAATTTTACTTTCTCAACATTTTTTTACACATGGATTTATATTTGTCAATGGAAACTTGTAGCATGGCTCTAAAGACAGTAAGTGGAAGAAATTAATTTGTTTGATACTCTTACTTATATATCTCAGTCAGCAATATGTTAGTTTACTTTTGTTTCCAGACCTTCTAACAGGGATGAAAAGAAAAATTTAGCATTCTGCCACTCCGTACATTTACTTCTTAAATCTTTAGTACAAGAATTACTAACAACTGATAACACGAACTACCTTGACAAAATGTAATGGATGATCAAGGCTTTATATTTTAGTTATATTTCAAACATAGAAATCACTATGTAACATAATAAAATCATTAGACTTACAAATTGTGATATGTCATAGCCCCAAGGTAAATAAAGGATTCCTGTATTGTATTTCTCCCAGTGTGAAAGCAAAAAACAGATGTGAACATTCCATAAAATAAAGAAGACACGTAGAGGACTGCAGCTGAAATCCCCACAGCCAAAGACAGAATACAAGCATGTAGGCATAAAGAGAGAGGCCCAACTGTCCATGCCATGATCCATGAGCTCCCCAAGAGGTCCACTGGAGTTAGTTCTTCTAGCATGCTTCCCATCAATTCCATCTATTTTTCATGAAGATTTGGGGACATTCACTTCAGTTACATAAAGTACATTGAGTAATTCATTCCAAAGCCATATCATTCCAACATTATTAAATGTAGAAACAGAATCTAGAAACTCATTTATTCCCTTCTGGACCAGTGGAGTGTCACTGATATTCTCTGCTTTTTTCCTTCTCATAGTAAAAATAATTTACCAAAATGCATTAATTTTAATACATACTTACTAAGTATTTATTTTTTTTGGTTAAAAACATCATATAATTTGATTTAGTGTTTCTGTCTTTTCCTTAGTTGTGAAATTTCAGAATTTTGTTGTTTTAAAAAACATTAAAAATATTTCATCTTAAAACTTAAATTTGTTTATTGTTGATCAGAAAATTCTATTTTATACAGTATATCCAGTTATTTTCAACTTAATATTCATCAACATATTTCTTTTGATACTTTGTTTTTCACATTGCAGTGATCATCACTTCCAGCTATAAATCATAAAAAAACATGACAAAAATGAAAAATATATTGGTGACCCAGGGCCTAAACCTTCAAAATGGCATCACCGCTACATTTGTCAAGTTATATACCAGATTTTTTGCTAACAATCTCCTTGATGAAGATCAACTAATATCTAATACTATAGTTTCTTTTCAATAAATTTAACAACACTGCTTAATAAATAAGGATTTGAATATTTTGCCATCATTTACCAGACTTGTTAAAAATAATTAAATAAGCTTATGCAATGTCTTTTTCGTAAAA